AAGGGAGCTTTACCACTGAGATACATCTCTAGTTGTTTTTTATTTATAATTTTAACACAGGGTCTTGCTAAGTTGCTGAAAGTCTAACAAATTTTTAAGGCTGACCTTGAACATGTAATCCTCCTGCCTCGCCTCCTGAGTCACTGAAATTATCAGCTTATACCACGCCACTCAACTGAAAATTATATATTCTTAATTGAATATACTGGAGTAGACATCACTGCTACATCTTAGCTAGTAAAATGTATACACTAAGCAGCAACACAGAGGTAGCTTTTTAAATCCTGAATTCAGGTCAAAGCTTATCTTGAATCTGGATAAGCTGAACACTACAGGCTTTATTAATTTAAATCCATTCCTCTCTCCCTGACATTTTCCTCCCCAAAACCACACAACCACTCATTCTCATACACAGAGAAGTACAGAATCCCACAGTTGACACAAAAGCCTTTAATTCTGGCTTTAGGAGGATGAGAGGTTTGAAGGTAGGTGAGTCAATGGGTATAAAACTATAATTAGGGAAAAGAAATGAGTTCAATGTTCTATTACACAGTAGGGTAGAATAATGTAATCTATTTCAAAACAGAGGATTTGGGGGCTAGGGTTGTAGTTTAGTGGTAGAGTGCTTGCCTAGCTTGTGTAAAGCACTGGGTTCGAGCCTCAGCACCACATAAAAATAAATAAAATGAAAATATTGTGTCCATGTACAACTAAAAAAAATTAAAACAAAAAATACAAGAATTCAAGTGGTCTTGGCCAAAGAAATCGTGAATGAGGTAAAGGATATGCTAATTACCCTGATTCAGTTATTTCATAACATGTACTAAAAAAACACACTGTAGCCATAAATACAACAGTACAATTATATGCTGATTATAAAAATTTTAAAAATGTTCTGGTTTCATCACTTACTCATCATCTCTGAGCCTCAGTATTATGCAATGGTGGCATTTTCAACACCAGGATACTGACATTGACACAATCCACTGATTATTCAGGTTTTTCTAGTTTTTCTTGTACTTGTACGTAGGTGAATATATGTAGAACAGTGTTTTTTAAAATCCTCTTTAAGTTTTTTTTATAAACCAAAAAATTATTATCTAAACTTTTAACTTATTATAAATGCCTCTTCATATTGAGTGGTTATTGACTATACTAAAAAAAGGGATTAAAAGTGTTTATTGCTATTTTTTTAAAGAGAAGCATCTATTTTAACGTTTATGTGACTTTTAAGGTAGAAAACATTACTTAGCGATATAAAGGAAATCTGAAAATATATCTGTGATGCAATTGTTGATGTCAGTATAATAAGTTACCTTGACTTTTGTGGTATTTCTCAGCACCCTGATGAAAGTATTGTGTTCAAAAGTAACAGAAATGTTGCCTTCATCAAACCATTGCAAAGAACATGATCTTTCATGTACCTGGGCTAAGAATGTCTTCCAAAATGTATACAGATAAATCACTCAATGTCACTATGCCAAGACAATTTTCACTAACATTTTAATGTTTATTTCTCCAACATTCTTTCCTATGCATACATATACACAAGACATTAACATTTGCATGTGAGGTTGGAAAGGAAGGAACACCAAGCAAGAGAGGTGCACACTGAGAGAGTATCACAGGGCACTATCTGATTTTTTCTCTGCTTTCCCTACTTTACAATAACACTGAGAACATTTTCCAGGTCATTAAATATTCTTCTATGTTATCATTTTTTTAATCGACTACATAGAATTTGATTACATGGATACACCACTATGTAATTAACTTTGTATTAGAAGTTTCCGATTTTCAGTAATATAATCTTAAAAGCTAACATAGATTAGTATTTCTCTACATCAATTACTATTTCTTCAGGTACTTTCCTACAAGTGAGATTTATGTATCAAATAATAGAAATTCTGTAAATGCTTTTTACTTAGGCTACTGAATGTCTTTCTGAATAAGAATGTACTAATTTATAGTTCTATGAGTGGGACTTTAAAGTACCTATCCTAGGTTTTGTCCTTTTTTTAAAAAAAATAATGCTTTCCAAGATGACTGGGAAAAGTATGCATTTGTGCCAATATACATTGATTTCATTCCAAATATTAAGGTTTTTTTCCTTCCCTTTCATCCTTCAAAAAACAGTGTGTATATTGTCTTCAATATCCTCATTTGATGGATTGCCAGATCATAGTATTTCTCCATTTTAAAGTATAGTTATTTCTCCTTTTTCATTTGTGATATTGTTTAGGCACATTTTGTAGTTTCATCTACATTTCTGGAAGAAGGTGATAAAGTGATGTTCTGCATGTATTTTACACACACACACACACACACACACAAAAGCACACATACATGACCCCAGGTGAGTTTTTCAATCTTGAAGACATTTGAAGAAGTTAGTAATTCTCACCTCCACATTTCAGTAACTGTTCTGTGACTAAAGAAGCTGCACAAAAACATGATTTTGTCAGTTTGTCAGTTTGTACTATGTCATCAATTCATAGTCAAACCTTTCTTGTCACTCATTTATCATACATTGTAAAATGCTAAAAAGTAGCTCTTTGCTCGAGAAACTCAAATTTGTTAAACTTCTATTTAAGAAGATTTTCTACTCACATGACATTTTTCATTTAGGCATTACACAGCACTTTGTTAATGTTAATTAGGGTTTTCCAACTGGAAATTGAAGCAAACCTCTAGAGAATAAAATTAGACATGGAAGGGAGCAATCATTTCTCCAAGATAATTCCAGAGCATCCTTGGCATTTCTGTGGCTCACACCCAAGAATCTCAGGCGTGCATCCCTGCTACTAGATCACATAACAAAA